ACCTTGAGAACACTGCAGGCAAGCTGCCCAGGTCAGTAGCCAGTCCCCAGTCTCTTTCTGATCCAGCTCCCGTTTGACCGCCTCGAAGTCCAGAAGGAAGAAATACAAACGTAAAAACACGGCCTGGCTGAGGTCAGCAGAAAACTGCTTCTCAGATGAAATAGCTCTGGAAATTTCTGTCACTTTCTCGTGCTGAGAGCAGACATTTTGAGAAGGGGAATCCATGCCAGACACATCAGCGCCCGACAACCCGGACACCTCACTACTTCCCAGCCCACCCGATGAACCATTAGTTTCGCAGTGAGCACCTACTTCAGAGTCTTTCATGGGCGACGCATGTAAACTGTTTCTGCTGTCTGAGAAAAGGGAAGCCACTCTGTCCGCCAGAAGAAGTTTGGAGCTCGAGCCATTGAGATTGACCGAAGGGAGCAAGGACTGAACGAGTTGTATGTAGTGGGCCAAGTCTGTCTGACCAAAAGCACTCAGGACCTCCCCGTGGACGCCACAGATAAAGCACATGGTGGTCAGCTGCTGAAACACCTCCCGGAACTCCTCCGACAAGGGAAACGGGTCAAACGCATGGACAACATCCAACCAGTAATCCTCAGGAAACACAACAGTATCCGAACTTGCTCCTAAAGCATCAGGCGGAATCGAGGCTGAATTCAAATTATTTATTGCACTAGTTTCCTGACCCTCGGAAGCATTGGATATCCTTGAAGACACAGAAGCATTCACCTCTCCACCACTAATAGACGAACCTTCAACATACGTTGACTCCCTATCGTGTCCATTAAGAGCACCACCTTCAACTGAATCTACAGAATTTGGCCGTGAGAAATTTCCCTCACCACCAGGATCCACTACTACTTCCTGAACTTCTGCTTTATTGCCCCTGACCTGTGACCTCTCGACCTTGACCCTGTGCAGCTCACGGTGGTAGTCCAGCATTGCTTTGTGCAGTTCTCTCGCCCACTCTGTCAAGATCTCTACCAGGATGGCTGGCTTCACCATGGCCGACCATTCTCCCAAACGCTTCTGAAAAAAATAATGTGATAGTATAGTTTAAGAGAGATTAAATTTTTTAACTCATTCAAATGTCAAAGTCAAATTTTTTTTGGGGTAGACTAAAGAGACATAGAGGGAGAGATTTTTAGTCAGAACCCAGTGTACTGTTTATGTGTTGCCATTGTGTTCGCAAAGGGCTCATCGCATGTGTTCTTTAGTTGGGGTTGAGAGCTATATAAATGTCATATATTATGATTATAAAAGCATTCACAAAACAATAGATCAGGCCATTATCAGTAAAAAAAACCCCAAAAAAACTAAACCTGATTAGTACATATTCTACTAAAAACAATGAAGGACTTCCATAAATAGAGATCGAAAACAACAAAACTCTCTTCCTATCACAGGAATCCCAACCTGGAGTCTGAGCGCAGTAGTCGAGAGCGAATGCACATCTACCGCAGCAGATGCCACTTTCTGAAATGTATCGCTTTCACTGTCACTCTCCGTCTGCACGCTTTCATCAGGTGTCACAGCACTTGTCTCATCATCTGCTTTCCATGACTTCTGATCCTGAAATGAAATATGTATTTTTCTGTTTAGTCTGAATTCAACGCATTACTGGATACAGAATATTGGAAAGAAATAACGCTAAAAAAAAGAAACAAATGTAAGTAAAATGAAACAAATGACTGTATGAATGTAAAAGTATCAACTCCATGAGCACAATTTAGATTATTTCCAAAGTGGGCGGCTTTGACTTTGCCCGTCTGGGCCAGTTTAGGCTTAGTTTGTTTTAGTAAAAGTTTTTCGGCACTTGCAACACTGTAACACAATTACATCATGTAAGTTCCAAAAACTAGGGATGTTACAAGAGAGTAACAAACACAAAAAGGAAGGAAAGACAAGGATGACAGATGTCTGATAGCAAAGAAGAAGCAAACCACACCAGAGCACCTGCCAACTTAGGCTGAGCGGGAGACACATGATAAAGTAATAAACTTGGTGAAGAAGAAGAAGAAGAAGAAGAAGAAGAAGAAGAAGAAGAAGCAGAAAAAGAAGGAGCAAAAGAAGAAGAAGCAAAAGAAGAAGAAGAACAACAACAAGAGCACCAAAAAAAAAAAAGACATCCCACTTACAAAGACAAATAAACAGACACACAGACAAACACACACACACAGACAAACAAACCCACACACACAGCACTCACCTGAGGTGACTGCAGCTCTGACAACATGGGACTGCTGGACGACTTGGCCAGAGAACTGGACGTTTTCGTCAACAGCGGGTTGCGTCCCTTGATGCTCTTGATGAAAGACCGCGTCTGAGTCTTAAGTTTCAGGGACAACCTAAACAGGACAGTAGTTGTTTGTTGTAATTGGTACATGCAACCAGAGACATTAAATCTTTTCCAGTATCAAAGAGAAACAGTGCCACATGCTACCGTTTCTTTTTATTTTCAGTTCCTCTGTAATGTTTGTAATTTTGTGCGGAGTGGTAGAAAACATTTGTCAGTTTCGAACACCAACCCATTCTGTTCTATCTATCGAAAATAGATTTCTGACACTAAATTTTTCCACCGTTCTTTATGAGGTTCTGTCTTACAGTTCAGACCAGTTACTTCCAACTTTTAAATGATCCTTCTGCAGTAAAATAAGTCATCTACTAACTGAACCCATTCAGCAATGTTATTATGACAGATAAAAAATATCCTCCTATTTCTCTCTCAATCTTCAACAGAAGAAAGCATTTCAAAAAGTGGAACCTGGACCCAAAATATACATGAGACTCAGAAAAAAAATATGCGAGTTTGTTGGGGTTTTTTAAACAAAGAAATTTTGAAGCCCAAAACACACAATTAGATCAAAATTGCCCAAAGCTCTGAAAAATGTCGGTTTCTATACATAAAGGATAACAGACCCCTTGAGCACAAACACTTTCCTCTGTAGAGAAAAAACAGTGCTTAGGCCAATAACACTTTTCATTTTGGGGTCTGATTGTCCAGATGTCTCTAACCAATATAATGTGTGCCATAATTTTAATTCAGAACTTGCTAAGATCTTTATAGTATGCTATCTCAAAATTACAAAGTTTTATCTGACACTTTCGGCTATTTTGAGTTAGTACGACCATGAGGTAAAAAAACAAATGCTCTATCTGCTCAATCAAAATCATAAAAATACTCGGAGTCGTTATCAAGATATTCAAAGAATTGCATTAGAAAAAGCTCTACATTTTGTGAAACAAAAAATTTTTTACGTCAAATTTCTCAAAAACTATGTATTGAGCAGATAGAACTTAATCATTCTGGGGTAGCGAATAGTCTTGGGGTAATCTTGATACAGTCTAGCACACGCATATAACGAACATGCACATAGCGAAACCCACACATAATTAATTAACATATATAGCAAACAGATTCCCCCCACCCAGGGGTAGTGCTACTGCCTGAATTGTCTTTAGGCCATTCCCAAAGGGGGCATATTAACATGTTCTTATGCACAGTAGAATTGTAAATGGGCTGATTTATCAAAGTCATGCTCATACTGTGCCTGGACAACATTGGGGGAACTGTTGCTTTTTCTTTCCTCATCCTTACTATCATCATTTTTCCTTTACTTCTTTTGTATGTTTGTTACTCTCTTGTGAACCGCTATTTCCGGGGTGCTTTGATAGTTGAAGCAGACTTTGTGCTGTTGAGGTTAGAGAGGTAAGCAGAGTAAGCCTAATTCCCCGTTTGGACTTCTCTGTTGACATCCACCCGTTGGCGCTCATATGACCTTATGCAGTTGGGATCGCCGTAAAACCTTACGAAAAGGCTTAAACAGATTTTCAGGTCTCAAATTTCTTCATATACATCTGTTCGCTTTGTATTTAAAACATATACAAAGCCAAATTCAAAGATCACACCAAATATTCCCGCACCCAGCTGATTTCTTTATGTGCACACTAGACTGTATTTCTCAATGCCTACAGTGACAGAGACCACTACACCATAGGCACTCACCCATCCTTCAGTGCTGACAACGAGTTACGGGGCGAGACAGAGTGAGGGAAATGTTCCCCCGATGCCGTCAAAGGGCTCAGGGATGGAGAAATCTCCCGGCCAGGATACAGGGCCTCCTCACTCCCAAACGAGCCTCTCGCCGCCGCCAGCCGGTCTATCAGAGGGGGGATCACCTCCATTCTCCCAACCTCTGTGAATGAGAAGCAAATCATATATTTATTCTTCACACACTACAGGAATCCTGCGTCTAGGCTTTGAAAACAATTGTGATTCATCTCCAAGAAAATTACATCATTAGTCACAACACACCTTCTCAAAATATTTTTTTCAAGTTTTTAGTTATCGGTAGAGTACAAATGCCTCTAACTTGCTACATTTCCTCAGTATAGCAGTGTTATGATATGATCAATCCAATGTCACCACGAAAGGTAATGCTATGCAGAAATGTAATAAACTACAAAATTGAACATGTTGACCCTTTTCTCTGGCATGGACACATTTTCAGAAAATGCGAAACGAGACTCATTTCGCCAAGCTGCTACACAAATAGCTGAAAGTGAATAAGAAAAACAAGTCCCACCTTCCGCCTCATTCAGAGAGAGCCCCAGCTCAGAGGACATCTTTCTCCTGAAGGAAGAATTCTCCATCGGAGACAAGGCCATTTCATTCGACCATTTCCTTCTGCTCTTGATCTCGAAATCGCCCACACATGAGATGGTGTCTGGATCCTTGACCCTCATAGAAGTCGATGGCGGCTCCTCCTCCTCGATACTGCTGATCGTTTCCATGGAGATGGCATCAAACTCTGTCTCAATTTGATCAAACAACATGCTGTCGGGGTCATCTCCAACAGATGCACTCTGGCGCAGTTCTGAAATAAATATACATATTCCTCTATGTGAGTTAATTTGTTTGTCTGTTTGTTGTCAGAGTAAAGAAAAGCAAATCAATTCAATGACTGTCTCTTAGTGCTGTCCAGCAGCACCTGATGTAGTGACACACTGTCAAGAATTGACTTTTTTTTTTCCTTGTAAACTGGGAAGATGGGTATGGGTTGGAGTAACTGAAAAGCAAACAAATTTTCAAAAATTGGAATCAGGGGTGTTACGATCGTATTTTTGTAAAATTTAATAAAACAACAACAAAAATGTAACAATTCCACCAAATTCATAATGATGGGCAGCCCTTTCATTTTTCAGCTTTCTCCTTTTAATTTTCATTTTAATTCATTTTCAAGGCCTTTTCCTGACCAAAATATCTGAAAATGAAATGCCTGGCCTTTTCCAATTTTCACCGGTTGAGTCGGAACCCCTGGGAAGAGGGGGGATGGAGTAGGAGTGCCGGTACAGGAGGAAGGAACTGCCTTTTGTTAATAAGATAAGTATTGACAAGGCAAAGGTTTGATGCCCCTTTCAACACTGTGAGGTCATTTAATAGGTCGGAATGAATCAAACGTCTATCTCTAATAGGACCAAGCTGAGTAGGGATAATGCCATGAAAACTTCCCAAAAACAATCCAAGTTCAAGAGCACATTGTCCAATCATAAAACGAGATCAACCTCGTAGCCCACCACCTGACTAAACTAAACCCTTCCCATATTTCCCATCTAACGAAGCTTATCCTCCATATCTACAAACACAGAGCAAAAAAGGGTAGGCTATTGCTGTTTTGAATATTTTGATTCTCCTCTTTTTTCAAGGCTTTATCTGACGAGAAAAGCCATTCTGCCTTCAAGTAAAAAGTGTCAACAAACATTCTGCAGTGTGATCTGTGTGTGGTGCACCAAGTGTACGTCTCACCCTGCCCACAAACGGGTCAGGAAACCAGCAAGATAAGCCGGAGGACAACTTACTTAAATAACATTACCTTTTTCTGGCCTTCGTCGTCTCATGGTGTTGAGAGGAGAAGCAAAACTCTTTCTCTTGTTTGTTATATCAATATGTTAGTGTTTTAGTGCCTATAAAATGGCAGCTAGACTGTATGCTTCACAGGAAGTTGAAACTGTTTCAGAATGCTATCAGATCAGCTGAAGTAATAACATAGACTGTAAAGCACCTAGAGCTTGTTGCTCAGCAGGAATTTGCGCATACAAATGCGATCTATTATTATCACCTGTTGCATGACTATATTGCTTTTGTTTGATATTTCTCTGACCCCCCTCAATCCATGTTTTCCAGGCCATGCCCCTTTCTGTGTATCCATCTATTCTCTGGTTGTGTGTATCCATCTATTCTCTGGTTGTGTGTATCCATCTATTCTCTGGTTGTGTGTATCCATCTATTCTCTGGTTGTATGCTCTCGCTGCTATACTGTCCAGTGGTGGTATTGACAGATATACAAACCATTCTATGCGTTGTTTCTTGGAACAAAACTCATGATCTATATATCTGTCAATATACAATGTCCAGCTTTGGAAAAGAAAATCCATAAACTCGCTTCTTGAGTTGGAGTAAACAGATGACTACCAACATGATAACGCAAATTTTGTGCAGGCCAAAAAGCAAGACCGACAGAAACAACTGAAAGAATAAAAGAAGTACGACCAACCAGGGGGCACCAACATGGCACATTACAGTTTAACAAAGATCAGCAAACATCATTCTAAACAATTGTTGATTCACGACACTATTTATAACTATGTTGCATTCTTTGTTCGCATGAGTTGAAGGAAAGAATCTAAACACAATAACATTACAAAACAGTACTATATCATGTCATGTTGAAGAGAGGAAAAGTGAGACAGATGAAGGTAAGATGGAGGCTGAAGAAGTTAATGATAGAACTAGGGCTGTAGGCTCTTAAATAAAGCATTAGGCTTGCAAGTGAAAGGTTATCCGTTCAAGTATGTTCCCCTCTCTTCAAATGGCCACTTCTTAATTGGTGGAGATGAAAACATGCGACCCAAAGCATACGAGTGTCTAATATGCTCCAACATTGTAAGTTCCTTGGGGGCACTGATACAGCACATCAGAATAAACAGGAGGCAGGAGGGCCAAGGAAGTTACAACAAAGTTACGGGAGCATTCACTTTGAATAGGCATGAGATCACAACAACCATCACCTTAACACAATCACTTGGCACTCCAAGTCACAACAGTATTTATTAGCCCTGAAAATCAGCAAGATAACAGACATAATTAACTCTTTGTGTACCAGAGTGTTCTCCAGGTTTGAGCCAGGCCTGTAAACCAAACATTGTGGTATCAGGAGAGGTCAGTTTGTTTATTTGATTAAAGAGAAGCACATCGACACAATAAGGGTCATTTAGTGCTGGGAAAACATAAAATAGACAGATAAAAACAACAGAGGGAAAGTCGCAGGACCTACCATTCGCGCACTCCTATCATCCGCGGAGAGGTCAGTAACAACCTATTCTATTTTAGAAATCCATACTGGTGCTTGTTTCCGACCAAAAAGTTCAAAGAGAATTACTGCATATAATTTTGAAACAACATGTTTTAATTCCCCATTGGCACAATTCAGATCAAACATTCGTGGTGCAACTTATTGTCAAATATTTCCTCAACTATCGCAAATAGACTCTCCAGCTTTTCTACAAAGACTTGTTTCAATTTACCTTAACAGATCAATATTTTTGTAAAAAATCTGTTCGCTGTATTCTAGAAAATTCTTTAATAAATACTAATTAAAAATTCAAGTCGGAGGTTTCTACAGATATTAAAAGGTTTACAGCTGGAGAAATATCGCTTTTAGAAGCAAGTATGTCATTTTTTTTTCTAATCGCGACATTATGCTTGTTGAACGCATTTTTGAGAATCTTTAGTGCAAAAGAAGAGTCCACTGTAAAAAAATTTTCTTGTAACACGTTTTGCCACTTAAAAGTGTCATCGATGAGCTGTGAGGTAGGCCATATGCGTATGCAAAATGTGTGTGAGAAGCGGAAAGTGATATGAACAATCCCATTTTCCGTGCGACCGAGATTTATAGTATTTTATATAAATTTATGAAGAAAAAGTTTTTAATGTAACCTTAGTTGTTGTGGAAAAATGCTTAAGTTAAGACAAATTGATACAAACTGCTGTGCAAAGTATGGGTGACATTGATTCACCCGTTAAAGAGGTATTTGAAGAAAAGTTGCGTCACAAATTTTTTACCGCACTATAAACAGTGGGCTGCTTCAACTCTATGTGTCAGAGCCAACTTAGATACCCAGTAGACAGACAGAGACATTAGGGTTTTTTTTTAAACTTCCCTACACAGAAATCAAGCTCAGGTCATCTCCATGTGAAAGCGAAGTGAATAACTGCTACACCACAGACGCCAGTCAAAAACTTTTTAAAACACAGAGAAGAGAGTAAAACAATGCTGTATCAAGGAAAGACCAGGGATTGGCAGAAGCTTAGCAAGGAGAGAGATAATGAAGACACAGACCCGAAACTAAGACCTACCAAAGCCATACCCAACCTCCAGTGTTTGGTCTGTTTGTTAGCTTGTTTGAGAAAAGAGAAGCACATCGACACAATAATGGTCATTTAGTGCTGAGAAAAAGTAAGACAGACAGACAGAAACAACAGAGGGGAAAGTAAAGAAGTAGGACCTACCAGTGGCACCCTCCAACCACCAACAGTATTTGGTCACAGACAAAAATGAACAAAATATAACTCTTTATTTGATTGTGCTGTATCAGCGATAATAAAAAGTATGAAAATCAAATGATTTATACTATATATATATATATATATATATATATATATATATATATATATATATATATATATATATATATATATACAAAGAAAAGAAACTAATCAACACACCCATTAAAAGAAAAACTAACTGCCAAAGGCCACATTCAAGTGCCCTGTTTTGAAAGCTGGGTTAAAGGACAAGAGATAAGAGAAACTTGATCAGTGCCTCAGGCTTATCACAGAAACAGCTGTTCACATTCCTGACATAAGCGCTAAAAATAGACCCTTACTCTTACCTGAACTGTTGTGAGGTGCAGGATCTGAGGAAAAGAGAAAGTTTGCCCTTTTAGTTTTAGTAAGAGTTTTATGGCACTTGTAACACTGATAGGTCCTATAAGTGCTGAAGATTAGAGGTATTACCAAAGAGAAACATACAATGAAAAGTTAGAGGAGAGATAAGGACAAAAGATGTTTGATAGGAAAGAAGGAGCAAACCACACCAGAGCACCCACCAAGAACCTACAAGTTTGCTGTTGAGCGGTACATTAAGTCACCAAAATTAGGCCAAATGCTTCTAGGAACAGATAAGGAGAACAGCAACACTGAAAAGAAGCAGGAACAGTAGACCAAAGCACAGCGGTCACTGACTACCCATCACATTTTCTTAAAAGAATGAAACAGTTCTTTCTCTCTCTCCCTTGAAAAATGTTGCTTTCTGGGCTTAGAATAGTTGAACACCTTGTGGACAATATGTTTTCGGTATCTTTGGGTCCTTGGGAACAGCACTTTACACAAATTTTCCCCACTTCACCCAGGTGGGAATGCGTACCCGGCAATAGACAGATAAGATAAGAAACTTCTTTATTGTCTAGATCCTGGCACATTGGTTTAGTGTTTCACCACATACACACATACACGCACACACACGCACACACACACACACACACACACACACACACATACGCGAACATGTACACACACGCAGGCTTACAGTCACATGCATTATATAAATGAATAGTAAAATAAACAATAATAATAATAATAATAATAATAATAATATATAACATTTATATAGCACATTTCCAAAAAAAGTAGCTCAATGCGCTTTACATAGGAATACCCATTTTTTAAAAACCTTTCTTACTACTTCCTTTCTTCTCAAGCAATATACATTAATGCACACACACACACACACACACACACACACACACACACACACACACACACACAGACTATTTTCATCCAGACATAGGAAAAGAACAAATATAATGAAAGATAACGTTAAAAGCTTATGAAGGATAGGCCTGTAGGAACAGAAAATGTTTAAGATGTCTTTTGAAGCTATCAAGTGTTCTTATTTGTCTTAGTTTCATGGGTAATCTGTTCCACATAAAAGGACCAAGATATGAGAAAGATCTCTCTCCATATGATTTGTATGATTTTACAGGTGTCACAAGTAGGGTGTTATCGTTCGATGATCTTAGGTTTCTCCCTGGTTTATATATACTGATAAGTTCTTGTAGATAAAAAGGAGCAGTTTTATTTACACATTTGAAACACATGACGCAGATTTTAAATATTATTCGTTCTTTTACAGGGAGCCAATGCAGTTCTTTTAATGGAGTGACATGGTCTCGTTTTTTAGATTTTGTTATCAGTCTAGCGGCATTGTTTTGAATTACTTGTAAACGATTCAAATATTTGTTGTTCAGACCTGCTAGGAGTGAGTTACAATAGTCTAATCTAGATAGGATAAGAGATGTTACCAGTGTTTTTGTGGTCTCTTCGTTTAAGTACTTTCGAACTAGGCCTATCCTTCTCAGCTGAAAATAAAGGGATTTGGACAGAGATCCTACAAACGAGCCCATTGATAAGTGGTGGTCAATATATACACCGAGATTCCTGAAAACTTCTTTACTAGATGTCATATGCCCATATAAATCAAAGTTGACACTTTCCAGATCTTATTTAATCGTGGATTTTTTATAAGAATGATGTCTGTCTTTTCTTCGTTTAGTTTCAATTTGTTTACTGTCATCCACTTTTTGGTTTCATAAAAACATTGTTTAGTGATGGAAATCATGTTTGGTAGATCTTGAATGGTGCCATTAACATACATTTGGGAATCATCGGCATAAAAATGATAATTCAATCCATGATTTTGTAAAATGCTTGCTAAGGGCTGTGTATATAGTGTAAAGAGCACTGGTCCAAGAACGGACCCCTGTGGAACTCCATAATCGAGCCTGACCTGCTTTGAAAAGCTATTTTTAATTTGCACTGACTGAACTCTTTCTAGTAAATATGACTTAAACCATGAAAGCACAGTACCCGATAAGCCAAATGAGCGCTCAAGTCTTGTGAGTAGAATAGCATGGTCAATTGTGTCAAAAGCTGCGGACAGATCCAAAAGAGTTAAAAGACAGATGTTTTTGCTATCAATGGAATCCAATAAATCAGACTTTACTTTTAAAAGCGCAGTTTCGGTACTATGATGAGTTTTATAGGCAGATTGGTAAATTTCCTCAAGACCATTTTTTCTCATGTGAGACAAAACTTGACTTAAAACAATCTTCTCTAGAATTTTTGAGACAAATTGCAAATTCGAAACTGGTCCATAGTTTTTAAATTCATTTTTATCAAGCCCGGGTTTTTTCAATAAAGGTTTTACAATAGCTTGTTTGAAAGTATTAGGTACTGTGCCAGTGGCAAGTGACATATTCACTATCTGAGTAATGTGAGGTAGGACAATATCAATACAGGTTTTGAGTACATGAGCAGGCATTGGGTCAAGGTCGCATGTTTTTATGGTTGACCCATTAATACAATTTAAAATATCACTATTTGTAACTGGACTAAAAGAATCTAATATATGTCCAGTAAATTCTGAAAATTCCAAATTTCCATTTGGCTCTAGGTCGAGAGAAGAGCGTATGGTATTAATTTTGTCATTGAAAAAAGTCACAAATAAACTACAAAGTTCGTCATCTGATGTTGCAGAGGGGACAGGAGATATTGTTTCTTTTCCCAGAATAGCATTGGTAGTCTGAACGAGTTGTTTGGGTGATTTAACATCTTGCAATTCATGTAGATAGTATCTTTTCTTGTTATTTTCGATGATTGAGTTGACTTTGTCTCGGTGGTTAATAAAGATGTCTCTGTGAACTTGAAGTTTTGATTTCCTCCACCTGCGTTCTGCCTGACGTCGATGTTTCTTGGCCTCTTTGATTTCAAGTGAAAACCAAGGAGAAAAGGGTCTCGATGAAATGTTTCTTTTTACCATTGGCGCATGTTGGTCGATTGCCGCTTTCAGAGTGTCATGAAATGTGTCTGCATCTAGGGATGATAGACTTGTCAGTGTTTTGCTCACGTCGTCCCGAAGTGCCTGTTTGTCTATTGTTCTCGTGTTCCTTGAAAGTATGCTTCTTCTTACGTGTTTTGGTTTGGAGATGTTAAGCTGTATACATATTCAGTATTCTGATTGTGTTCTCTGTAAAATTCAGTGAAAGATCTTGTCAGTATGTTAGTGTTTAAGCACCTATAAAATGGCAGCTTGCATTGTATGCTTTCCAGGAAGTTGAGATTGTTTCAGAATGCTATCAGGTCTGCTGGTGTAATAATAGATTGTAAGGCACATGGAGCTTCCTGTTCAGGGGGAATTTGTGCTACACAAACGCTGTCTTCTAGTATTATTATTATTACTATTACATTAAATATCTATTCTTACTGTTTTCAACTATTAGAATTTAATTTCAACAAAATATTCTCCAAACATAAGAAACCAATGCCATAGAGTAAAAAACGGCCAAAAAAAATGCTTTTAAATATTGGACTTAGTATCTTATCTTCTTGGTGTATCTTATTGTATCTCAGTGCTGTAGAGGTTAAGGTGTTTACCTCTCATTCAACAAGTTCCCAGTTTAGATCCCAATAGTGACATAAAATTTTCTTCTGTAAAATTTTTTTCTTTCCCATCCTTTCCTGCTCTTTAATACTGTTCTGCCACCTGCTTTTGTCTCCACTTTCTGCCCCACCCCCTCACCTCCTCTGCCCCCTCCTCCGGGCTCCTGACTCTTTCTGCAACCTTTCTACTGCTACTCCTTGGCTACACCCCTGATCTTCTGGTAGGTAAAATCTAACACCTAGCCTTCTCAATAAGGCTGAAAAATCTTGGAGGTCCCCTGTGCAAGTTGCGCACAATAAGGATCCCTTGGTGGTCCAAAATTGATAAGAGTAGGCTTCGACCGCAGTGCGGGCAAAAGTCAAAATTTCCTGCCAACTGAAAATGTTTAATGTATCCCGCACACTAACAAGACCTAATGCAGTTGCGACCGCTGTAAAATGCTTCCAAAAAAAAAAAAAGGGGGGGGGGGGGCATCAGCCACTGAGTAGATACCACTTACCAAAAGACACTGAGCGGGCAAAGACATCCCGTGAGGTATTTTTCTTCTTCTTTTTCTTCTTTGAAGTCCGGAGAGGCTGGGCAATGCTCAAATCATCTACAGGAAATAAAAAATGTTTATAGTTTAGATTTAGTGAGAGTTTTTACACCAATCGCAACACAATTAGGTGATATAAGTGCTGAAGATTAGAGGTGTTACTAGATAGTAGCCAACTAATAAAAGATGGAGGAGAGATAAGGACAATAGATGTTTTAGTTTTAGTAAGAGTATTACATCACTTGCAACACAATAAGGTCATAAGTGTCGAAGATTCGAGGTTTTACCAGAGAGTCACAAACACAGAAAGGAGAAATTAGGACCATAGATGTTTGACAGGAAAGGAGCAAACCACACCAGAGCACCCACCAACCATCCACTAATATTTTTTTTTTTGCTTTTTTACTTAAAATGGGTTTCTTTTTTTTTTTTTTTTCCCTTGCCCATTGATATGAGATTGACGCCATCTGATTAGTATAAAAAAGTGCATATGATAGTGTCCAATAGTGTATTACGTGCATACTTAGTATGACAAGTAACTGTTACAGATAGAGATCCCTTGATTATAGATGCAAGTCATTGATCTGCGAGCAATGATGATTTTAGAAATAATGGTGGTGAAGAGTGATAATGTAGGATTGCATTTAAGTAATGTTAGTGTTAGTCCTATCTTCCTCTGCTTCAATGAGTCACGAGGGAAGTGGGCACTCTCTATCCTGTTCCCTACTGGAACCATCTTTATGGTCACAGTGAAGTTCAGACATGATGGGCACAGTCTCTGTTAAGGTGACATTTATAGTGTTAGTCTATTCTAACGGGCCAAGATAAGCGCCGAGAGGAGCTAGGTGGGAAGAGAGTATAGTGGCAGGTATGTTGGGGTATTCGTAAGCGGGTTGTAGGTAGCAAGTTGACAAACAGATTATGAAGTTTAAAAATGCAGCATTCTACTCCTTGACCATTTACCCCGAAGATTCTTTTCGCCTCCTATTAAATTAAACTTGCTGAGAGTCTGACACAGGATCCTCGAACCCGAGGCGAGAGGGCTCAATTTACACATAATATTGTATCCCCTCACCTCAACGGGAGCGAACTTTAAATAAGTTTCTGACACATTGGGTCATCCTCACTCCTGTTCTACATTCACCTTAGTCATTTTTTTCATGTATTGACAAATGGGGAAAACCCGAATGTTGTTTACGTACAGTTACCAGAAATATTAGTAGGTAGTCCGACTCGAAATAGAGGTAGGGTGAGATAACAGTTTTGAAGTCCTCATTCTTAATGTAATAATGACTGCATTTATATAGCACATATCCACACAGTACAGCTCTTGGAGCTTTGCAAGTATTAATACCCCAGCAGATCCTACAACACCAAGAAATATTCTCAGTTTCCCTGGAACCATACAATGCAAGCTGCAAATTACATGCGCTAAAACACTGACAAACTGACAAGATCTTTCGCTGTCTATAGCCGGTACCCATTCTCACCTGAGTAAAGTAAGGAAAATTTGTGCAAAATACCCTTTCCAAGGACACAACATTGGACCCCTGACAAGGTTCGAACCCATAACATTTTGCCTGTGAACCCAACAGCCTAACCATTAGACCATCAAAAGTACAAACGGGAGAGGGCATAAGGCCATTTAGCCCAAAGGAACAACAAAAAGGAATCTGTCCATTGAGGAATGAGCATATTGACATACCGGTAACTTTACAACCATATCACCTATCAGAAGTATCGCAAATACTCACCTATAATACAAGTGATTTTTCTCAAAATAAGGTCCAAAAGTATACCCCTCATAATATAACATGCAACATACTGCCAAGATTGACCCAATAGAGGGGAAGCAATGCCAAATATCATTTTTGCAGATTGAATCAATCTCAGTTCTTGAAGGTAAAACACTATATTTGAGGCCTGACTAGAATCCCAACACTCACTTATCAATGCCAAACATGGACCACGAACAAGACATTAGAGCAAAGAATTACAACATGTGAAATGCGATGCGTTAGAAAAGCAGTAAACAACACCAGGCGAGACAAAATTAAAAACTCAGTAATCCGAGAAATGGTGGGCACAAATGATGTCAGGCATCACATCCAACACCAAAGAATCAAATGGTTCGGACATCTCCTACGATTACCAACACACCATGAAGCAAAACGTGCCTACATCCAAAAATTCGATGGCAACAAGGCTAGAGGGCAATCGAGAAAGACCTGGATAGATGGAGTCAGGAAAACATTAACCATCCACGGCATCCCCCTCGTCCAAGCTCTCCGGCGGGCGACAGAGAGAGGTCTCTTTCTTCCCGCGACACACAAAAAGGTATAAGCGGTGGATAAAGGAAAAGAAAGAACGAAAGAAGACTAGAACTTGTCATCATGTATGTTGAGCCCTCTTCTGCATGTCAAGATTCATCCAGTATTATATGCTCGACCTACAAAATGGGCTGATTTTGGAGTCAAAGCAACTCCCCCCCTCCCCTCCCACTGTATTATACTCCAAGTTGTGTTATCATATACTGTAATCAGTTTTAAAACAACTCAGGTGTTGTGAAAACAGGGCAAAACCTGATGGTAGTCCAAAGTATAAGAAATGACACACCGGATCAGTTTCATTGTGACCTTCTAAGCGATGCCCAATTATCGGTTCCATTCAGTTTGGTTGGTTTGGCGTTAGCTGGATTGTCTTATATGACAATGGCAAAACTGACGAAACCAACAAAACCAATGATGACCTTCAATAACAAATGCGTTTGCTTTCAAGGCCGCGTGTCGAGCAATCGGTTTGGGCAGTCAGTTGGTCTATTTATAGTGTGCTCTGAAGCCACCAGACACTTAACCGAACCAAACTGAACCGATCCTCCAATGGGCACCGCCTAACAGCATATCTTAAGCCATCATTGTAACATCACTAACTACCATGCCAGTGTTCACCCAGTTATAACCCACTCCTTGCCACAACAGGCCTCCAACTTCCACAGTCTATGCTTTGATGAATTATTTCATTAACCCTTTGAGCCCCGACCTCCTGGGGCTACTGTTTCCCTCTGCCTGAGCTACTGAGCAATATATTACTAACAATCACATGATTGCCAGAATCACATTCTATATCCCACACATGGTAGTCCTTGTCGTTACCAGCATCTAATTCAGAAAGATCTTCAAAATATTCAATGAAGTCCAGTGTAGTAAACATGGCTTTTCAAGTGCGTTTGGTCCCAGATGGGCTGCGTTGGGGATAGGGTCTCCCTCACCGATGTACTGGTGGCTAGGCATACGAGCAATTTTATGCACCACCTGTTTTCTGGCCACCTGTTTTCTGGTGACTTCCAAAGCTTGAGAGTCTTTGAAAACTGTAAATTTACATTTTTAGTGCCTTTAATCAACATTTTTCAGTAAAATCCATACATAAATGTGTTTTTAAAAAGGACATTAAAGGTGGTAAGCCAAAAACCACAGATTCAATTTTAAAATTGCTCATTCGGGAGAAAAATGCTTGTTTCTTCAATTTCATGATTTTGACGAGCGCCTGATTTCACCACATTGCCTCACATATTATGTAATCTGTCGTAGAACACATTTCTTTTATCCCAGACAAGTCAACACAAAATGCTGGTGTCTGTGTTGTAGTGGTTAGGCTTTTTGCCACTGCATGCAGAAGATGTGTTAGATCCCCAAGTCGTGGGGAGGAAATTTTTCATCAAATATCTCCACCTGTCTGCTGAGGTACTCAGTCACCCTTAGCTCAGGTTGGTCTTGACAGTTAAGGTCTCAACAGCCCATTTCCTAAATAATTCCAAATGGAGTTGATGGGAGTGTAATTCTTTTACAGCATACCATTTAGTTTGGTTTAGTACCGGTTTCACTGCGCTCGCAGCCGCATTTGAATACAGATGGCATCTTGAATTGCCTATAATTACCTTATGCTGCTATGGGACAGGGTTAATGTCAGAGTTTACTAAGTTAGTTTTACAGCTCTTGCAATACATATACGTCATATAAGTGCTGAAGATTGGAGGTGTTCCTAGAGAGTAACATATTTTTAAAAAGGAGGAGAGATAAGAAAGATAGTGTTTGATAAAAACGAAGGATCAAACCACATCACAGCGCCCACCAACCATCCATCATTGAGAGTAGGAAGGAAGGGAGGGGTTGGTGAATTTCAGGGGCGGACATACCATTCCACTATACTTGTGGTGTTGGTGGTCTTGTGGTTAGGCTGTTGGGCTTGCAACCAAAAGGATATCGGTTCAAACCCCGTCAGGGGCTAGACATTGTGTCCTTGGGAAAGGCACTTTACATGAATTTTCCTCACTTCAAACAAGTGGGAAATGGTGCCTGACTATAAACAGCAAAAGATCTTGTTAGTTTGTTAGTGTTTGAGCGCTAAATCAGCTGTTTGTACTGTATCATACTTCCTTGGAAGCAGAGAATGTTTCCGAGTGTTCTAGGGTCTGCTGGGGTAATAACAGAGATTGTAAAGCACACAGAGCTTGCTGTTGAGCAGGGATATGTGCCATACATATGCTTTTTATTATACATTATTATTACATTCAGACAAAAATACTTTACCTGACTGCTTCTCCTTCTTGGTGGACTTTTGCCTGGCCACCAGCATTGGGCCAGGAATGACATCACTTGGCGGAGGAGCAGCAGCATCACTGACATGTGAGGCCGACATCTGACTCTGCAACTGTTCAGCAACTCTGTCATTGTCGTTGTCTCTAGAGTCTGGCCAAGCCATCGAGTTCTCGTGCACTTCTGTGTTTCTGGGCTCTACTGGTGAACCCACTACTGTCCCAGTACTGGAATAAGGTTGTTCATTTTCCCCCTCATTGCCGAGATTAACTGTGTGTTCTACTCCAGCAGACGCACCAATCGTACCATCAACTTCTGAGCTGCCAGGAGACTGTAGAGTACTGTGAATGTCGGCCTGATGCAGTGGTAAGGAATCGGCCTGGGGCAATGCCGAGACTGACGATGAAATGGGAGACAGCTCCTCCCCACTTGTTTTCCTACCTCCAAGACTTTCACCCTCTTCCATTAATGTTTGGCTTTCTGAAAGTTCCTTCACGCCGTCTTCCTCCCCGACAGCCATGACAACAACATCACTGGGCCTTGTGGTGCCTGGAGAAACAGGCTCTGAGGAACTCACAACCGACTTTGCCGACACTGGCGAATGGGTCGAGGAAGCAGAATCACAGAGAGCAGCAACACCCTCGGAGTGTCCTTCCCCTTCCTCGAGATAAGGCTGCTCACCATTCTGAGCACTGGCAGGTTTTGGAGTAAACGTAACATTCTCATTATTGTCCAACCTCGGCTCCACTTGCTTTGTAGTCGTGACATCACCTAAATTTTCCAAATTGGGGTTTGTAGTACCACAGTCAACAATGTCAGACCCTGGAAACACTGAGACTTGATGTGAATCGGTGTCGGAGTCACTCAAGACCTGACTGACCACCGCATAATCTGGACATTGTGAGTATAATGGCGAGGGCGTCATGTTTGTCTCTGTACCATCCATTTTGTTACCAACCCCAGCTTCAGTGCCCTGTGGCAGATACAAACCCGAGGACACAACATCATCACCACCACTCTCGATGGCGTGAGATCCATCTTCAATCTCCCCTTCCTGCCAGTAATCACCTTCCTCAGCAGTGACGACATCCGACTTTCGGTTGTATCCCCCGGGGCGAGCAGAATTGTCAATGGCCACACCTTCACTGACCACTACCATGCCTGTGGGAAGATAGGTGTGACCCATGATCTCCGCAGTGTCCACAAACTCGCTTTGAGCCTCCAGAGAGTCCAGCGAACCATCACTGACATCCTCCAGCAACGCCTCCACTTTCTCTGCCAGACGAGACTTGCCTTCCTCTCGGAGACCTGCCAAAACAAACCCACACACACATTACTACCCTGAACAGTTTGTTTGTTTTAGTTTTAATAAGTATTTTACGACACTTGCAATACAATACGGTCAGGTAAGTGCCAAAGATTAAAAGTGTTACAAGAGAGTAACAAATACAAAAAAGAGGGGAGATAAAGATGATAGATGTTTGATACGAAAGAAGAGCTGTCCTGCCAAGAACAAGTGATTATCTTCAAACAAAGAACACAACACACAAGACTCAAACAACACATGCATGTACAGATGTTTTAAGCTAGTTCATTCCCCAAAATGCCAGTGTGGAGAAGCAGACCAAACTGTGGAACACATCATCCAGCAGTGCAGGACACACAGAGCCCTGAGACAGAAAGCATGGCCAACCCCACTGACACAACAGGAGAAGCTATGCAGGCCAACAGAAGAACTGAGCAGGACGGCCCAGATATGATAGATACTGGACTTCAAATGAGATGCCATCAAGAAGCAGAAGAAGAATCTCACATAAACTCATACCAGTAGCTTGAGCTGTACTTTGTCTGTTTGTTTGAGTGAAGAGAAGCACATCTACACAATAACTGGTTTACAGTATAAGGAAGAGATAAGACAGACAGAAAGAAACAACAGAAAGACAACCAGACACCCTACCAGCCAGTTGTTCCCTCCAACCGCTCTCTAACTTGAGCTAATGGATGGTACTAAAAAAATAAATAAATAAATAAATAAGAAATCAAATTTTTTAAACAAGCCAAGTTACCCCCTGGTTTTGAATTGTTTAATTTAAATTTAGAAAAGACTGAACATGGCCTTAGTTAAACTTATTTCTGTAAGTCAAACACTGTGAAATGAGTCCCTCCAGACCAAGACATTTTGGCTGGACAAAGCTCTACTTCAGATGAGTGTAGGCACTTCTGGCAAACCAAAGGAGACACAGGCCTCAACTTTCTATACTTAAAAACAAAACGTACTGCAAAGCGGCAATGGGAGTGCAGCCTATGCAAGCACCTTCTGATTCCTTTGATTGTGTGTTGCTCAATTCTACGAGCTGTGTTTTCTTTTACACCATTATAATAACACTGCCATAGACATCCATCTGTCCAAGGCTGCCACTTTTCTCCTCAACAATGTGTGGCCATCATGAACAATTTCCACTAAACCAAGGCAGCCAGACAGACGGAAACAAAAGAGGGACAAAATAGAAGTAAGACCTGCCAGTGACACTCTCAAGCCACCCTCTACGCACCACCGGTAAGTACAGACAATAAATCCTGCTTGATTCTCTTGACCACGGCTGGCCGTAGCTTGATCTGGTCAGCAGCAACCAGCAGTGAGGCCATCAGTGTCCAGTGGCAGCGTTTGGACAGGACAGTGAACAGCTGGTACACAGGAAGTAGCACCAAGCGGGTGACCGAGCCATTTGCCAGGAAGAGGTACACGTCGTTGTTACACACTGCCAAATCCTGGACACCTGAGGAGAGCCAAAGGGGGTTAATTTGTTTGTTTTAGTTTTAGTAGAGGTTTTACGGCGCTCGCAACTGCATAAGGCAATATGAGTGCCAAGGGGTGGATGTCAACAGAGAAGCCCTTACAAGGAATCAGGCTTACTCGGCTCACCTCTCTAGCTTCAACAGCACAAAGTCTACTTCGACTATCAAGGCACCCTGGAAATAGCGAGTCACAAGTGTGTGACAAACATATAAAAGAAGTAGAGGAAAAATGACGATAGTGAGGATTAGGAAAGAAAAAGCAGCAGTTCCCTGATGCAGTTCAGGCACAGTTATGAGCATGACATTGTTGAACCAGCCCATGTACAATTCTGCCGTATTTAAGAAAAAGTTAATGTCCCCTACTTTGGGAATGGCTTAAAGAGGGAGATAAGGATGATGATGTTTGATAGGAAAGAAGAAGCAAACCACACCAGACCACCTGCCAACCACGCATGGATATTACTTTGTTTGTGTAAAATATTTTCGTAAGAGTATCAAGTAATTTGCAACACAATAAGGTCATATAAAAGATGAAGGTTACAGGTGTTAGTTTTAGTTTTAGTAGAGGTTTTACGGCGCTCGCAACTGCATAAGGTCATATGAGTGCCAGAAGATTAGAGGTGTTACAAGAGAGTAGCAAACATAAAAAAGAAGAAGGGGAGATAAGGACGATAGATGTTTGATAGGAAAGAAGGAGCAGACCACACCAGAGCACCTGCCAACCACCCACAATTACAGGTGTAACAAGAAAGTAACAAACACTAAAAAAAAGGAGGAGAGAAAAGGATGATAGATGAATGATAGGAGCAAACACCAGAGCCCCCTCCCAGCTACCCACATTTTAGTAAAAAGAAGGACAACGACACAATAATAGTCATTTAGAGACCTGCCAGACAGACAGAGACATCAGAAGGAAAGTAAAGAAGTAGCGCACTCAAACCAACCACCTATACGTGGCGATTATTATGCATTATGTAAACCTTTTGTAGAAATTTACAGCATCTGTGGTGTAGAGGTTAGGTGCTTCACCATCCCACTCAGGAGACGTCAGTTCAATACCTATGATGCGAGAATTTTTATAGAACATTTGCATCTCTCTGCTGGGACATTGCATCTTTCTCAGCTCAGGCTGGCCCTGAGAGACTGGGTCAAAACAGCCGCATCCTGAATGATCAACTCTTACAACTACAAAATTAGAAATAGTACTGCTAAAGTTGGAGAGCCCAGCCCTGAGAGACAGCAGCAAGGCATAAGAAGGTCAAGAAACTTCTCCAACATGTAAAAGTTCAAGGCTCAAATCCAAATTATTCTGAGGTCCCAGGTGTAACACCAGTGCAATCCCACTGAATATTTTTAAGGGGTTTGCAAGGTTCAGTGAGAGTAGCTCCGTAACACAGACACATATTGCTACCACATAATTACAAAATTCTATCTGCACAGTACCTAGTTTTGAGAAATTGGACGTTAAAGATTTTGAGTTTCACATCATATCAAGCCTTTTCGAATGCAATTCTTTGAATATCTTGATAATGACTCCAAATAATATTACGATTTTAAGAAAGCAGATAGAACATTTGGTTTCTGACCTCATGGTCTCAGTAACGCAAAATGGCCAAAAATGTCAGATAGAACTTTGTCATTCTAAGGTAACGATATTTAAAGGAAGGCATCGCCTACAACACAATCAAACGGGGTCAAAAGCCACATTAAACATATCGAAAACCAAAACTAAACCCACCTTTCACATCCTCTGTCCAGACAAGAATCTTCACGTTGATTGGGTCAAAAATGTACAGACCTTTAGCACTCCAGGTCACCAGGAATTGACTGCAACAGAGGAGCCCAGTTGGCAATAGTCAGCATCTGAGCCCTTACAATGTTTCAGACTTTTTTCTCCCATTAAATTCAACATCCTACTATATAAAATGTAGCATATTGTAGTTTTCCATACCACCTTAAAAGAAACTTAGTTCATTGTAATTTTCAATACCATCTGAGAGCAAAACATACTCCAGGAAGGAGGTGGGAGAAAAATTCAGACTTCACCTGCATTGTGACTTGATCAATTTTGATTACAAATGCAACAAGACATCAAGACTGATTCTGCTTTGGCAGGAATTTTTGTTTCCTTAAATTGCTTTGACTTGACTACACTTTTTTTTCTTGCTAACGAAGTCTCATAAGCATTCTGGAGTTTTAGCTCGTGGTGACATTTAACTGAACTGAATGTAAATGAATTTTTGCTCACAGTACAATAAACAAGAAATCCGAAAGAAAACAATACCGAAAGGAAATAAAGACAAATAATAGAAGAAACTAAATACACAAACCAACAAAAATAAAAGGACAACCATATAACGAACTGGCAAGTAAAAGAAAGAGGAATTTGAACAGTAAAAAACATAATACAGCAGACTTTCAACCTGATATATTACAGAAACGTTACCCCAAACGGAACATCTTCAGGAAGTTCACCGACTGCCCCGTGTATGTTTTGTTGATGCATTCATAGCTGTCCCGTCTGTGAAGAAAGACAACATATAGAAATGTTGTTTTCAGATTTTACAGCACTATCAACACAAGACACCATGATGTGTCCTTGGGAAAGTGCTCTACCCTTCTTTCTTCTGTCCACCCAGCATTGGTTTAGTTTTAAATAAGAGTTGTACGGTACTTAAAACACGAAAAAGTCATTTAAGTGTAGAAGATTAAAAGTGTTACAAGAGAGTAACATACAAAGAAAAGAAAGAGGAGAGATAAGGACAAAACATATTTCATAGGAAAGAAGGAGCAAACCACATCAGAGCACCCACCAAACATCCACCCATCCAGCCACAAATGGATACTTAGCAATAGCGTCATGATGGGCATCTTGTTCTGCACTCACAGACGTTTTGCTTCTAAAAATAATGGGAACAAAAATAAGTCCCTTATTCTACCATCACAGAAATACCAATATTTTAAAAACGACACGATCTTGACACATAATGGCACTATATGCAGGGCATACAAAGCCTTAATAATAATAATAATAAATGACATTTATATAGCGCTCAACCCCGAATAAAGTACACAGGCTCTGGGCGCTTTACAATACAGTACAACATACAACAGTAACATAAAATGTTGTGTTCTGACTAAAGAAAATTATTCCAAATATTCATCTTATTAATTTAAAAACAAAGGACTTAACATAAAGCGAACACCTACCCTAGGTTGACCACAGGTACAGGCGGAATTGCCAGCAACTGTTTGAACTGGTGGGTGTTGAGGACTTTGCCTTGGAAGTCGACCTGCAGGAAACACACAGGAAATCACCAGATTGTCACGGTTACATTATCAGGTAGGGATTCATTTACTTTTCACTGGGACCAGGGTAGATTCAGGCTTGGGTTTCGATTGATTTTAGTTTCGATTGAGACTAGGGATGATTAACCCCTTCATGACATCGTGCTTTTTTTCAAATTTCCCTTGACCCAATTTTTGCTAGCCAAAAGGGTGAGCAGTTTCAGTCACTTCGCAGCCCCTTCCAAAATTAAAGAGTTACACGATTCGTACATTTTTGTTTTCTCAGGTTTCCAGTATTTCATTATTTTTCCGCTAAAATTCCTTTCAGAGCTATTGTAGATAGTAATAAAATCCGGCATGGTGCATTTTAGGATTTGCATTGCATGAGAGGACAACATTTTGACTCATTCTCTCTCTCATTCTCTAGTCTCTCTTTCTTTCTCTATCCCTTCCCCCCCCCCCAAATCTTTCTCTTTCTCTCTGCCCCTCTACTCATCTCCCTTCTCCATCTCTCTTTACACTCGTAATGTATTTCAACATAACTGTCCCAACTTAAGAATTGGCTGTATTAACACCCAGTCGTGCTGCAACAAAACAAACATTGTAAGAGACGTAATTGAAGAAATGAACATCGACTTGTTGTGCATCACAGAAACTTGGCTTCGAACAGAAGGCGATGAATCTATCATAGCCGACCTTCTACCACCCGGCTTTGAACTTAAATCTTTTTCACGCGGATCACGTGGTGGCGGAATTGCTTTTATTCATCGGCGAGGTTTACCAGTAAAGTTCATCTGCGGTGGTCCATCGTATCGCACATTTGAATCAGCCACTGCTTTCATCAGATCAGAGCAACTTACCTTCCGTGTGACATGTATCTATCGACCGCCACCTAACAAGAAAAATAAATTTACAAGTAAAGAATTCTTCATAGAATTCCAAGATCTACTCTTTCAACTAGAGCAAGCTGCCTCCCCCTTTTACATCATAGGGGATTTCAACTTTCACTTTGATGTTCCATCTGTACCAGACACCAAACGCCTTGTTTCAATTCTTGATGATCATAATCTACAGCAGCTAATCAAAGAGCCGACACATCGTAGTGGTCACATTTTGGACCTGCTAATTACCAACACTGCTGACCAACATGTTCTTAAACATCAGGTTTTAGATAAGGCTATCTCTGACCATTCTCTTCTGATAGCTAACATTAACATCTCCAAACCAAAACACGTAAGAAGAAGCATACTTTCAAGGAACACGAGAACAATAGACACACAGGCACTTCGGGACGACGTGAGCAAAACACTGACAAGTCTATCCTCCCTAGATGCAGACACATTTCATGACACTCTCAAAGCGGCAATCGACCAACATGCGCCAATGGTAAAAAGAAACATTTCATCGAGACCCTTTTCTCCTTGGTTTTCACTTGAAATCAAAGAGGCCAAGAAACATCGACGTCAGGCAGAACGCAGGTGGAGGAAATCAAAACTTCAAGTTCACAGAGACATCTTTATTAACCACCGAGACAAAGTCAACTCAATCATCGAAAATAACAAGAAAAAATACTATCTACATGAATTACAAGATGTTAAATCACCCAAACAACTCGTTCAGACTACCAATGCTATTCTGGGAAAAGAAACAATATCTCCTCTCCCCTCTGCAACATCAGATGACGAACTTTGTAGTTTATTTGTGACTTTTTTCAATGACAAAATTAATACCATACGCTCTTCTCTCAACCTAGAGCCAAATGGAAATTTGGAATTTTCAGAATTTACTGGACAAATATTAGATTCTTTTAGTCCAGTTACAAATAGTGATATTTTAAATTGTATTAATGGGTCAACCATAAAAACATGCGACCTTGACCCAATGCCTGCTCATGTATTCAAAACCTGTATTGATATTGTCCTACCTCACATTACTCAGATAGTGAATATGTCACTTGCCACTGGCACAGTACCTAATACTTTCAAACAAGCTATTGTAAAACCTTTATTGAAAAAACCCGGGCTTGATAAAAATGAATTTAAAAACTATGGACCAGTTTCGAATTTGCAATTTGTCTCAAAAATTCTAGAGAAGATTGTTTTAAGTCAAGTTTTGTCTCACATGAGAAAAAATGGTCTTGAGGAAATTTACCAATCTGCCTATAAAACTCATCATAGTACCGAAACTGCGCTTTTAAAAGTAACGTCTGATTTATTGGATTCCATTGATGGCAAAAACATCTGTCTTTTAACTCTTTTGGATCTGTCCGCAGCTTTTGACACAATTGACCATGCTATTCTACTCACAAGACTTGAGCGCTCATTTGGCTTATCGGGTACTGTGCTTTCATGGTTTAAGTCATATTTACTAGAAAGAGTTCAGTCAGTGCAAATTAAAAATAGCTTTTCAAAGCAGGTCAGGCTCGATTATGGAGTTCCACAGGGGTCCGTTCTTGGACCAGTGCTCTTTACACTATATACACAGCCCTTAGCAAGCATTTTACAAAATCATGGATTGAATTATCATTTTTATGCCGATGATTCCCAAATGTATGTTAATGGCACCATTCAAGATCTACCAAACATGATTTCCATCACTAAACAATGTTTTTATGAAATCAAAAAGTGGATGACAGTAAACAAATTGAAACTAAACGAAGAAAAGACAGACATCATTCTTATAAAAAATCCACGATTAAATAAAGATCTGGAAAGTGTCAACTTTGATTTATATGGGCATATGACATCTAGTAAAGAAGTTGTCAGGAATCTCGGTGTATATATTGACCACCACTTATCAATGGGCTCGTTTGTAGGATCTCTGTCCAAATCCCTTTATTTTCAGCTGAGAAGGATAGGCCTAGTTCGAAAGTACTTAAGCGAAGAGACCACAAAAACACTGGTAACATCTCTTATCCTATCTAGATTAGACTATTGTAACTCACTCCTGGCAGGTCTGAACAACAAATATTTGAATCGTTTACAAGTCATTCAAAACAATGCCGCTAGACTGATAACAAGATCTAAAAAACGAGACCATGTCACTCCATTATTAAAAGAACTGCATTGGCTCCCTGTAAAAGAACGAATAATATTTAAATTCTGCGTCATGTGTTTCAAATGTGTAAATAAAACTGCTCCTTTTTATCTACAAGAACTTATCAGTATATATAAACCAGGGAGAAACCTAAGATCATCGAACGATAACACCCTACTTGTGACACCTGTAAAATCATACAAATCATATGGAGAGAGATCTTTCTCATATCTTGGTCCATTTATGTGGAACAGATTACCCATGAAACTAAGACAAATAAGAACACTTGATAGCTTCAAAAGACATCTTAAACATTTTCTGTTCCTACAGGCCTATCCTCCATAAGCTTTTAACGTTATCTTTCATTACATTTGTTCTTTTCCTATGTCTGGATGAAAATAGTCTGTGTGTGTGTGTGTGTGTGTGTGTGTGTGTGTGTGTGTGTGTGTGTGTGTATGTGTGTGTGTGTGTGTGTGCATTAATGTATATTGCTTGAGAAGAAAGGAAGTAGTAAGAAAGGTTTTTGAAAAATGGGTATTCCAATGTAAAGCGCATTGAGCTACTTTTTTTGGAAATGCGCTCTATAAATGTTATATATTTATTATTATTCTCTCTTTCACTCCCGATTAGATCCTACTCTGATACTACCAGCTATGGTTCTTGAAACACCAAGTTTCAAAGAAATAAAGGAGAAATTATAAGAGAAAAGAAAAGCGTTACCTCCCACATCCGAGAACTGGGTCGAGCACAGTAGATGACGGAGTACTGGGAGCGGGGCTCCAGGAAAAAACAAGATCCGAACTCCCCGTCCCTGGAGAGTGTAATTAAACAGATGACACAAATAGGCTTACTCTTCTACACCTGCACACACATGTGTAGCGTTTGGCATAAAATTCCCTAACTCCTAACCTACAAATCTAAATACAGAAGGGATTATTTTAAGAATAATTTGGCACATCTCTAATTTTGCACCCTGAACTCATTCGCTACGCCGAGCCGTGGGGGGCGGCGCGGCTTAAGTGCCGTCAGTATGCTAAGCCGCCCCCGGCGGCTCGAGAACCGACGTTCGATTTTAGCTTGGTTTCTATTCCAATCCACATATCCATGTTAAAATAAAGGTCATAAAATAAAGTTGACTTCCGGGTCAAGCGTTTCCACCGAAAATCGGAAGTTTTGATTCAGTTTTGAAACACGATTTCGAAGTTTATGCAACATTGTTTTATCGCGAAGCCCAAATTATAGCCCAGATACCAGTCTTAGTACTTTTAAACAACAAGATGTATCATTATTTTGCTCACTAAAGAAGTGTAGGACTCTTCTTTATAATATTGATACTACTGGACTCAAATTGCCAGTGCACTGTAATTGAGAAATCATTATTTTTTAGTGCTAGATCTAGGCCTAGATCAAAATATTTTTTTCTCCCCAAAATCACTACTTTTTGGTGAATTTACTCAAAAAGTACCACCCAAGACATGTATAGGTTTATTCCAAATGCAATTCTGAATAATTCCATATAAGATACGAGTGATTTTTTCTGTTTGGGATCTTTTTTTTCAAAATTATTTTTTTTTAATTATTTTTTTCAATATCGGAGTTTATGATCCAAATGTACAAATATTATGGAATGAATGTAAATAACTGCTCATTTTCAATATTTTCCTGTTCTATATACAGTTATGGTTATTTTGATGTATAATTTGACTAGGTGCAAACATATTTTTTGAGTTTCATCTGAGATTATAAATTTTTTGTTTTCAAATTTTATCCGCAGCCAATCACAATTGTGTTGCATAATCGCCTCTTACAGGAACCAAAGTTGAAAAATACTCAAATAAACAATACAGATATATTCCACAAAACATACTGAAATTGTTGATATATAATATGTTGATATTTATTTGAATTTATGGCCCCCAAGACCTGTGAACTGCGCACTAGTCCTCATCTCATTTCACCCTCCCGAAAAAAATTCGTCCACAAGCCAAAAATAATACGTAGCGAATGAGTTAAGCAGCATATCACCACAATAACGGTCAACTAACGCTTACAAAAAGCAAGAGACCCAGAAAGAAAGAAAATTGGGATGCAAAAGAAATATGCCCTGACAGTGGCCATCTCCAACCATCTGCCATTTTTCCTTCATCAGCCACAATGAAATATAAAAACATAGACTTCAATACTCACGAGACAGGAAATTTTTGTTTCTTTCTTAGATTTATGAATAATCATAACAAAAAGAAAAAAAAGGTGACTGAAAGCTGATCCGATATTAAAGGTTACGTAGAAATATTCTCTTAAGGCAACTCTTATACCACAACTCAAATTATAATATGCAAATTGCTTTACAACATATCACCGGCGTCTGTGGTGTAATGGTTAGGCATCTCTTTGTCACACGCAGGAGACCCGAGTTCGGCTGCGGACTGCGAAAAATTTTCACCAAGTATACCAGTTTTTCTACTAGGATGTTGTATCCCTCTCAGCTGAGATTGACCCTGATAGGCAGGGTTGAAACTCACCTCCTAAAAAGATATAAATTGTGTCAGTTGGGGCATAAAAACACCTACTTTAAAAAAAAGAACAACAACAAATTACTACATGTCCTAACATTGTTTCCAAGAGTACCATACCTTTTCTTAGTCCCTATGGTAGAATAATTGTGCCTGAAATAAACAAAATCATTTTTCAACATCATCCTAAATAAAATAATGACCTCAGTACAATGAATCCTTACATCCAAAAAGACATCACATCTTAAAAATTAATCAACATGTGTGTATGTAAGACACAGTATCATGTGTGTGTGTATATATATATATATACAGAGAGAGAGAGAGAGAGAGAGATAAAAAGGTGCAGTATCATTTATACATTTAAAACAGAAAACAGCAGTTTTGTATTTGATCCTTTCTTTTACTGGCAGCCAGTGTAGTTCTTTCAGAATTGGTGTTACGTGCGCTGATTTCCTTTGTTTCATTATCAATTTCGCTGCTTGATTTTGGAGTACTTGTAACTTTGATAGTTTTTCGGCCGTCAAGCCGGATAAAATAACAGTAATCTAATTTTGATAAAATCAGTGTTGTTATTAATGTCTTGGCTGCTGCTTTAGTTAAATAATTTCTTACACTGCCAATTTTCTTGAGCTGAAAATAGATACATTTGCTAAGCTGGCTAATTTGGGAGGACATAGACATATCATAATCCAACTGAACCCCTAGATTTTTAAGACGTCTTTTTGAACAAATGGTATGGTTATTTATATCAGTTTGTAGTTCTGGGAGATTTCTAATGGCTTTTGTATTTCCATTCAACATTATTTCCATCTTTCCATCATTTACTTTTAATTTATTACTGGTCATCCATATTTTTAATTCTGGAATACATTGCTCAGTGGAGTCGACTAAAAGTGATATTTGATCGAAATCAATAGACTTATAAATCTGAGTTTCATCAGCATAAAGGTTGCGTATACATTGTAAACAAGACAAGTCCAAGAACAGACCCCTGAGGAACACCAAAACTAAGCAAAACATTATTAGAATGCGTGCTTCCAACCACAACTGCTTGTGTTTGATCTTTAAAATGTGACTCAAACCATCGCAGGACAATACCCTTTACACCAAAAGTAGTATTTAGCCTCGCGAGTGAAATGTCATGATCAATGGTATCGAATGCAGCCGAAAGGTCTAATAGAGTAAGAAGACACACCTTTCTTTCAATAATATCTTTTAAAATATCAGTAGAGACCTTAAGTAACACTGTCTTGGTACTATGGTGTGCCTTGTATGCTGACTGATAAACTTAGTTAAGATTATTTGCTTTAATATGCTGTAAGAGTCTATTAGACACAACTTTTTCCAGAATTTTGGATAAGAATGAAAGATTTGAGACTGGTCTAAAAAATTTTAAGTCCTTTTAACAAGTCCAGCTTTTATCAATAGGGGTCTAACATGTGCTGTCTTAACACAAGTTGGGAGATATGTGGAAAAAGTTCATGTAAACATTTTTTTGAAAGGCTGGTGGGCATATGGTCTGAGGCACAAGTTTTTGATGGACTATCAAATATAATCTTTTTTATTTCTTCTTCCGTTGCTGGAATAAAATAATTGATGACTAGCCGAGCCCCCTAAACTGATGATAATTTGGTGCAATTGCACACATTTTATCGAGCCCTTGTCTGATGGAGCTGATTTTACTAGAAAAAAAAAGTCTGAAAAGCCACTACAAAGTTCTCTATCAGTGTGTGTGGGTCAAGGTGGACACAAGCAGCTTATCATTCCCCCAGCCCATTCGGAAGATGTTCGAATCCAAGTACACAATCACCTCTGAGAGGAGCGAGAACAGTCTAGGATAAGACAAGATAAGAAAAGAAAAGATAGAAATATAAACTTCATTGATCCATTAGGGAACACATCCAAATAAATAGGAGGTGTGGTATCTGTAACCAAATGTTTGATAAGCTACAGAGACTTTGCTTATTAGAAGTGTTCTCTTGAACAGTCGTTAAAAGTTTGAAAAATAGCCCGCTTAGTCATCATATTTCCACATTCTCCCGAATAATAATAAGCAAAAAGTATTCCCCTGAAGCATTTTACAGAGACAAATCTGTATCACTAACAGACTGCAAGTTTTTCTCCCCACAGCTATATTCTGTACATTAAACTTTTGTAAAGTTTTAAAAAGTTTGTACTAATTGGTACTAAGAGGTTTCGAGTAAAGTAAAGCACGTGGTGAAATGGTATGGGTTTAATGCCCCTATCAACGGTGAGGTTATTTAAGAGGTAGGACCTTCGAGTTAAACGTCCATCTCAGAAAGGACCAAGCCAAGTCAGAAACAGAAATCCCTGTAAAGAGCCTTTCCCAAGGACACACCGTCGGACCCAGCCGAACCCCCAAACCCGCAATCTCATGATTACGAGTCCGGTAGCCTAACCACTAGGCCATCGACGCCACCAAAAGCACATCAGCACAATAACAAGTATTTAGTGCAGGGAAAAAGAAAAGACAGACAAGAACAACAGAAGAGAAGAACAGAGGTGTCCTCCAACAGCCTGCATACTAATATGAATAGGCCCATTAGCTAAACGCACTTAGATGTGATCTTTAACAAACGTGGCAAAGCAAGAAAAAAGCCAGCAAAAACAAGAAGGAAAGAAGGAAGACCAAGAAAAGGCACCCTCCAACCACTCACAAACCGGATGCAACAGTGATGTACATACTTGATGGTGTCAAACAAGTGTGTGTGGGTCAAGGTGGACACAAGCAGCTTATCCTTCCACCAGTCCATTTGGTAGATGTTCGAATCCAAGTACACAATCACCTCTGAGGGGAGCGAGAACAGAGTCTTGGTCTGCACAGAAAAGTAAATGTCTGAGTCTCCAAATAGAAATCTTTTTAAAAATGCACACAAACTGATGGAAAGCACCTGAACCCTCAAATGAAATAATAATCACCACCTGTCAACAGTAACCATGCACGTGTTTGTCCGTTGGTTCTCCCACTCCTTGCCACAACAGGCCTCCATCTCCCCGGTCTCTGCTTTGATGCAGCGTCGGTGGCCTAGTGGTTAGGCAGATCATTTATTATAGTTTGTTTTGGAAATAATAAAAGTTTATTACCGGAAGGTGCCGCTGTAACTTAAGTTTGTTTAAGAGCTGCAGCGGTGGCCTAGTGGTTAGGCTCTCAGACTCGCAACCGTAAGGTCAGGGGCTCAAATCCCATCAGGGGCCCGACATTGTGTTCTTGGGAAAGGCATTCTACACGAATGATACCCACTTCACCCAGGTGAGAATGGGTACCAAGCTATAGTCAGCGAAAGATCTTGTCAGTTTGTTAGTGTTTGAGCGCTTAATCAGCTGCTTGCTCTGTATGCTTCCCGGGAAGCCGAGAATGTTTCTGAGTGTGATAGGGTCTGCTGGAGTAATATAGTGTAAAGCGCATAGAGCTTGCTGTCAAGCGGGGGTAAGCGCTAAACAAATGCTATTTATTATAATTATTATATATTATTTCATAAAGCTGTGGACCACTGTAAGATTTTGTGTTTTCAATGTCTGATGTAAAAAGTCTTCCTCTATTACAAAGCCTCTATTTTGCCCTACAGGACAGTTGTCTTCAGGTCCATTCTTATGTTTCTGATTGCATGACAAAGGAATTTAAGTCTTTTTTGCTCATCTTTGAAAAAATACTACACTGTGGATCAAGTTCTTAAACACTTTGCAATCACTTGCCGCAGTAACGCGCCAGTAAAAATTATTCTTTCGGGTCACCTGGCGCAAGAAGTCCATTGCAGTCATCATTCTAGCTGAGTGACCAGATCGGGTATTTTGTACTGCTGGCTGTGTGACTGCAAAGTGTTAACCCTTTGAGCCCTGACCTCCTGAGGCTACTGTGCCCCTCTGCCTGAGCTCCTGAGCAATGTACAGAAGTTTCCGCCTAAGATCCCGGTGATCGGAAGCTTTGAAATGCAGGATCATAGGTGAACCGGGATGTTAACCGACGTACCCAGGGAAGAATCTACGGTGAGCCATGTTAAGGCTCACAATCGGTAAAATGGTCTCCCTCCACTCTAAAATGAACTGACGTGACCCCTTGGTGGGCTTATGACATATGGCGAACAAAGAGTGGTTAACCTTGATGACCTATCACAGCACATAGTGGCATGAGGCGTGCCATTTTCACTTATTATCCTATCGTGAGTCTCATCTCAAGATCTACGCTTATCCAGTTGCCCCTCCCCTTTACCTGTCGAAAACTTGCAGCTTTCCATCCCTGACTGAGTTCCCCCCCCCCCCCAACCCCCTTTGTCATTACACACCATTACGTTGTGAACACACCGATTAAAATTCAGTCTGTCTCGCAAATTCAGGAGTAGAGACAACTGCTGCAATGGTCAAGGAAGAGTTCACAGTTCGATGTGACACTGCCTGGAGCGAACGTGTTGGCCCTACCCACCCAGCGAGTGATGTAAGTTTAGGGGGAGAGCTCAGGTGTGAGAGTTTGGGGAAAACAAACGTGTCAGTCAGTTCACACCCCAGTGTGATCCCGTCTGGGGTAAACACTGTATCGCTTCATTGAGTTTTATGTGTATGTGATCACATTCACAATAGTAGTTGATCTTTGACGCTACGGACAGTTTATTGTTCTCAACTTTTCACATTTGGTTGATCGGCTGTACCCACCTGGGTTTTTGTTCCGCAAATTATGATCTGAAATGCGGGATCTTAGCCAAAAATAGACCTTCAGAGTGAATCAGAGCAGGATCTTAGGGGTGACTTTTGTATAGTAAAAATTCTGTTTTCTTAAAACAGCCGGATCTGAAGCGAACCAGGATCGTAAGCGGAGGGATCTTAGGCGGAGACTGCTGTATTACAAACATCCATAAGATCATCAGAATCACTTTCCATATCCCACTCAAAGTAGTCCTCGTCATTACCAGCATCTAATTCAGAAAGATCTTCAAAATAATCAATAACATCCTGTGTAGTAAACACTGATTTCCCTGTGCCTTTTGTCTCAGGCTGACTGGGTAGGAGATAAGGTCTCGCTCACCTGTGTACCGTTGGCAAGGCATACGGGCAGTTTTACCCGCCATCAGTCTACCGGTGGCAAGGGCTCAAACTCAAAGTGTTAAGGAAACTTTCATATAAAAAATAATCAAAGTTCCAATGATAACTTGAAAAACGAAGGGACCCAGTAGCTCACAAAGAATGTCAAGCAGTGTTGTTTAGCTTAATTAAGTTTTAGTAAAAGTTTTACGGCACTTGCAGCACAGTAAGGTCGTATAAGTGTCGAAGATTTTAAGTGTTACAAGAGACTAACAAACACAAAAAAGAAGGAGGAGAGATCAGGACAACAGATATTTTGAAAGGACAGAAGGAGCAAGCCACATCAGAGCACCCGCGAACCACCCATGAACAACTCGCAAACTGTGTTGGAGAAAAGGTGCATGTCTTGAAACAAAACACTACGACCCAACTTCAAAACAATATTTAATCATCAAGCCTCTTCAAACCACTCAACCCCAACAGATGAGTAAACTTAAGTTACTCGGCAAAACCAAATGGGGGGAAACTAACTTGCATAAAATAAAGTACCAAAGACGAAAGGGAAAAGTTTTTTTTACCCGAGTCAAAGAGAGTTAAAGATGAGACGACAGTCCAGTGATGCAAGTAGGTGCAGACAAAAAAGTCTAAAAATTTTGAAGTGCAAGTAGTACTGGTTTTGGACGGAAAATTTGTATCCCTGGACAGTCATTCAGTGATGAGGAAAAGGAAGACAGACACACAGAAAAAACACAGGGATAGCAGAAAGCGAAGAAGCATGACCAACCAGTGGAATTTTCCAACCACCAATGAGACAATACCCAAAATAGGTTGAGGATGCCCCCTTCCCCCACCCCACCACCACCAACCCTTGGTTTTGATAGTTTAGTTTAAGTAAGAGTTTTACGGCACTTGCAACACAAATCTAGGCCATATAAATGCTGAAGATTAGAAGCGTTTCCAGAGAGAAACACAAAAAGAAAAGAAGGGGGCGGGATAAGGAAGACAGATGTACGACAGGAAAGAAGGAACAAACCACCCCAGAAAACCCACCTACCACCCACCCGGGTTTAGAGACAGGAACTGACCTTCGTGGAGGGTACAAAGATGATTGAAATCTTGCCCGTGTCATCGCCAACAAAGAGTTTTGAGCTGATCGCATCCCACACAAAGGCCTTGACCTGACGACCGGCATGATCGTGGGTCAGACGCACACGTTCGGGTTTGGCTCTCTTCTCGATCCTCAACTCAAACACCGCCACCTGTCCAGTGCTGTAAGGGAAAGCAACAAGTACTCTAGTTCGATTTGTTTGTTTGAGTAACAAGAAGCACATTGACACAATAGATGTCAGTTTTAGTTTTAGTAAGAGTTTTACAGCACCGGCAACACAATTAGGTAATAAGGTGCTGAAGATAAGAGGTATATGGGAGAAACAAACACAAAAGAGGAGGAGATTGTTTGTTTGTTTTAGTAGAGGTTTTACAGCACTCGCAACTGCATAAGGTCATATGAGCGCCAGAAGATTAGAGGTGTTACAACAGAGTAACAAACATAAAAAAGAAGAAGGGGAGATAAGGACGATAGATGTTTGATAGGAAAGAAGGAGCAAACCACACCAGAGCACCCGCCAACCACCCACAGAGCAGGAGAGAAAAGGATGATAAATGTTTGATCGGAAGGAAGGAGCAAACCACACCAGAGCACCTGCCAACTACCCACTTTGTCTCTGTAATCGTCTACTGGAGGCATATAAGTTATTTTGAAGACAGGCCCCAACACTGTGAGATGTGGAGGGATTTGATTCTTTGCAAGACCAGACCTCAAGTTGAAAGAAGATCAGCACAAAGGAGCAAACAAGAAGACACAGGTCAAACAGCACTGCTCCATGCACATCTTTTGCTACTTTTAGTTTAAGTAAGACCTTTACAGCACTTGCAACACAAATTGGTACAAGTGCGGAAGAACACACACACTAGAGTGTCCTGCGCGCTCATATGACATTATACAGTTGAGAGCGCCGTAAAACCCTTTAAAAAAACAAAACAAAAAGACACACACACACACATCTGAGTGTGAACACGCACACACACCTGAGGGTAAGACACACATGTCTTTTTTAGTTTAGTAAGTTTTTTTCGGCACTCGCAACTGCATAAGGTCATATGAGCGCCAAGGGGTGGATGTCAACAGAGAAGTCCAAACAGGGAATCAGGCTTTCTCTGCTCACCTCTCTAGCCTCAACAGCACAAAGTCTGCTTCGACTATTAAGGCACCCCGGAAATAGCAGTTCACAAGAGAGTGACAAACATGCAAAAGAAGTAGAGAAAAAACGACGATAGAAAGGATGAGGAAAGAAAAAGCAGCAGTTCCCCCTACGTTGTTCCGGCACAGCATGAGCATGACATGGATAAGTCAGCCCATCTGCAATTCTACTGTGCACACGAACATATTAATATCCCCCCTTTGGGAATGGCCCTTCAGTCAGTGGCATTGCCCTGGGGGGACACACACATCTGAAGGTAAGACACATACACTTGAGGGTAAGACACACACTGTGAAAACAAACCTGAGCGCGACACCAATATGCTGATCTCCAGGGGACAGGCTAACCTGGCACACCGGACTCGCCTCCTAAAAGGGTCACGGTCAAAGAGAGGGAAGAAAGTAAATTTAGTTTCAGTAAGAGTTTTACAACATTTACAACGCAAATAGGTTTACAGTATAATCCATTTATATCGACACCCGATGTATCGATATTTTGACACATAGACACATTTTTCAATAACGAAATTTTTCCTTCAATATCTTCACTAAACAATACCTCTTATATAGACTTTTTTCCGGCCCATTCTTTATTGACAAGCTTCCTGGGTGCCTGGTGAAGCCCACGAACATAAAAGGAGGAAAAAGCCACACTAACGGTCAATGCATTAGTTCTTCATTAAGTCCGCTTACCCGCCAAGTAGCCTTCCGACACACCAGGCTTTAGTAGGTCATGTAGGGCCTTAACAGTGTTGTCTCCAACACAGTGCAGTGCCTCACAGACGTGAGCGTCTCGCGCACAAGGCATCACCTCCCTACCCCCACTCCCGAGCGCCCACTCCCAATCGCTCACTCCCCTTCCCCATCCCATTCTTAGTCTGTCGCTGGCAAGTGCCTCGCCTTTCCATTTTCCCCAGCAAGCGGCCATAAATAGGCTTACAAGGATGCTACAACAAAGTTTGTGCTGGTGCGTAGTGTGTGCCTCACACTGCTTGGTCTTTGATACCGTAACTCCACCCCCCCCCCTGACTCTTGTTAGTTTCACTATGCAGTTGTGTAAGAATCAAGGGAAGCAACCAGCTTTTAAAAAAGTAGTGTTGTCTTTTTTACCGCTGACCTCCCCTTGTTTTTTTCCTCTTTGGCTTTATATTTCACTTATCGACAATGTTATATCGACATCAAATCCGCTTCCAAGAGCATGTCGATATAAGCGGACTTTACTCTATATTTGTGTCACGATGCGGTGGAATCAGGTGCTCGTCAATTTTTTGGCATATGGAGTTATTGGTATCACCTTAAAACCTGTCCATTTGCCTCGCTTTCAAAGAAAACAATACCAATTTATCTTGGATACAACTCGATATAATATTTGCGATTGAAGGGGGTGGGGTTGCCTGGTTTCAGAGGCAAAATTAGCGAGAAAATGGACGCCAAAGTTTAGTTATTTCCAAAGTTTGAGAGCCCCTGGAAACTGAAAATTTACATCTTTCATGCATTTAATCAATGCATTTCAGTAAAATCCACACTGAAATGTGTTTTTAATAAGAATCAAAGGTGTTGAGCCAAAAAACAAAAATTCAATAAAAATTCACAAACCTGGGGAAAAATTGATATGCCAGTTTCTTCACTTCCATTATTTTGACGAGTGATTTCAACACACTCCTCCCATTTATATTAGTGCCGAAGATTAGAAGCGTTACTACAAAGTAGCATACAAAGAAAAGAAGGAGGAGAGAGATAAGGACAATAGATGTTTGATAGGAAAGAATCATACCAAAAAAAAATTCAGAGCGCCCGCAAACCATCCACTTAGAAAGTAAACCATAATTATAATTTTGGAACTCAGCCTTTCACAAGACAATTTTCACTGGCATCTGTGGTTGAATGGTATGATTAGGCTCTTTACCATTGAGCACAAAAGATAAGAGTTTGATTCTAGGTTGGGCAAGTTTTTTGTCAAGAATTTCAATACCTTGACAGATAAGAGTTCTAATCAATAGACGCAAAACATGAGTTGAGACCACCTAAAAAAAATTAAATAAAATAAGCGAGCAAACTTACAGTGTCTCCAAACACAACTTGAAGATACTTGAGTGTGTCTCTGCTGAATATGTACACACCACCTGTGTTAGATCCAAGGGCGATATACTTCTTGGAAACTGACAGACAAGTGTACTGAAAACACAAAAAGGGATAAGATAATCATATTATCAGGACAATATTATCAGCAGCAATCTGTCAGGAGTTTGCACTTGGGCACAGTGTTAGCTCAGTTCTGAGCATGCTGGACTACGATATGTTTGGCATTGTGAATTTTACTTAAAAACATTGGTAAATATCTCGATCTCTACTGAAGATAGACGAGGGGGTTCATCAAAAGCAAGGCAAATAAACAGGCTTTATGATGATACCAACAACTCCATACGTCCAAAAATTGACGAGCCTCTAATTTTATCGTGCTATGCCACATATGGATGAACCAGCTTTGTACATAACATTACCATCTTTGAAGAGACAAAAGCCCACACTTTATCATACAGGGAGAGGGAATTAAAACTCCAGCAGCACAATGAAGTTTCTAGAGCTAAAAGATCTGGTATTCTATGGGCCTCAATCCCCTTTCAAACAATAAGAATACAGTCAAAAGAGTCCAAAATAGCCACCCATTGTTGAGGAGAAAAAAAGTTTAACTAGACAGTTGAACATCATTGACAGAGTCATTGTAATACAGAAAACACAAAGAGGGAAGTAGGAAGTTGTCATCTGTAAAGGTGGTTGTCTTGGACGGGTGGCCATTAGAGCTGGTTCGACCGTTTTTATGAGATGGGCCCTCCGAACTTACATCCTTTCCCTAAATAGGACAGAGAGGCAAGAGGGTGGAGAGCATTGTAAACTCCCCACAAATCTAAACTTCAAGAACACTGTACTGACGATTTCAACAAGGGCCATCTGCACCACAGCCAATTCCGCTAACAGTTCTCATAACAAAACTCTCACTGCTCCCTCTTGTCTCTACCTCCCATACTCTGCTGTAAGGTGACAAATCGCCTTTTTTTAAATCACAGAGGTTTCGAGGAAAAGAGGTTTTTTGTCAAGCATACCTACTGAAAAATAGATTGCTTCCGCAATTTGAATTTGAATTTATTTTTTAAAACTTGTCACAGTATTTTTGGCGTCAAAATGGAAAAAGGCATTTTGTCAGCTTATGGCAGTAATCTCTGTATCTCCCCTTCCCCCACGGAAAATAGAGGCACAGTACCAGTAGACAACTACCTTTAGACGGGACGAGCGTCCTAACACCGAGGTCAGCTCCTCCAGAGATGACAGTTCCGTCAGGATATGAGAGAGTCCACTGTTCTTTGCCATCTTCCACAGAAAATGAAAAAGAAAAATCTGAAAGTCAATGAACTTACATCACAAGTTCAAACAGCATAATGCATTATTATAGAAACATCACAATAGAATCACTTCTCAGACTTACAGCATAGATAAGCGTACCAAAAGATATAAAAAAGCTGATACAAAAGAACGACATCTGTAGTGAAAAGAGGTTTTATTTTTGCATTGGCAATGAACCTGTATATGGAGCTAGAAAAGTACCATTTCGAGAAAACAGGAGTCACAGATAACCATGATTATAGAATCAAGTAATCTAGCAATCAAGTTGTATCCGGGGGCTCTTGTGGCCTAGAGGTTGAGGTGTTGGCCTCTCATTCAAAGGTCCCGGGTACGAATCCGGGTAGCGACGGAAACATTTTCTTCTCTAAAATTGTCTTCGTTCACCTCCTTTCCTGCTCTCTAGCAATGTTCTGTCATCTGCTTTTGTCTCCTCTTTCTGCCCCCACCCCCTCACCTCCTTTGCCCCTTCCTCTGGGCTCCTGACTCTTTCTGCGGCCTTTCTACTGTTACTCCTTGGCTCCTTCTTACTGCTGTCTTTCTGCAACACCCCTGATCTTCTGGTGGGAAAGATCTACACCTAGCCTTCTTGGACAAGGGCGAAAAAAAAGAAAAATATCGAGGACCCATGCGCAAGTTGCACCCGTTAAAGATCCATTGGTGGTCTAAAATCGATAAGAGTAGACTTCGGCCGCCACCCATGCAAAATTCAAAATTTCCTACCAACTGAAAAAGTTTAATGTGTCCCGCACGCTCATATGATCTTATGCAGTTGCGAGTTGCGAGTACGTTGAAACTGAAAATTTGTGAGGCAGCATGGTAACAACAGGAACATTAACATTTTCTTTCTTGTTAGTAAATTATACTTGGACATTTCCCACTTCTATGGTCAGATTTAGAATGTGTAAGGGGAAGTGGTGTGTATAAAAATAAAGACAAAGAATAGAATGAGGTCGCATGAGGGTGTGTCGAGAATTTTTACTGTGGAAGCCTTTGACTGCCGCAACTTGAAAAAAGAAAGACATTATAATACCTTTTCAAATACAAATGTTTGAACAGAACATTCAAGAAAGAATGTCTTATAACTTATTTTGGAGGTTTTAAACATTAATATCTTAACTTATATAAAACACAATGAAAGTCGTCAGGAAGGATTTAAATTAATTTCAAAATCAAATTACATGTGTGTACTTTCTGTTTTCAAGAAATAAACTTCAAACTATCTTTCTTACTTTAGTTACCTAGCTTCAATTTTAAAACTCTGTTTGCACAAAAATAACTGAAATAATAAAAATAGAATGGCTTTCTAATTACTCTTAAAACTATTAGGATTTGCTTTTGTCGATAGACAAACGCCCAAGCGACCATTGGCGCTCGCCAAGTGGCATTGATTAACGCGATTCAACCGCCTAGACGCCATCATACTGTAACTGTAAGTTAGGCGGTAGAATCACGCAGATTTTGGTAGTCTAAACTGCCTATGTCCAGTAACTTTTATGTAAGAAAGCATCTTCAGTAACTTAGTCAAAGTAAGCAAAGGCAGCACTTTGTTTTGATGTTACCATGCAGTCCGATTTGACAAAGGCAACATCGTGTTGGTCGCTCCACCTACAGGACAGGTGTACACCTCAACAAGCTGCTGAATGTGCGTGATTCAACTGCCAATTTGCAACCGGGGTGCAAAACTGGCACTTGGGATGTTGAATCACGTGGTAATTACTTAGCATTTTCTGTTCCTACAGGCCTGTCCTTCAAGCTTTTAGCATTATTTTTATTATAGTTGTTGTGTGCCCATGTCGGAATAAAAATAGTCAGTGTGTGTGTGTGTGTGTGTCCATTAATATATATTGCATGAGAAGAAAGGAAGTACAGTCGAACCTGTGTAAGATGGAATCGCAAAGGAGCCAGAAAAAAATTCCGTCTTAGACATTTTCCGTCAGACAGGGGAATTTAAAGTGAGATGGAAAGGAGGGGGGGGGGGGGGGGGGGTTCAAAGGTCACTTGTCCGATCGGCAAGCAGTGGTCAAAACTTCACACCTCACCATTGCTATGGCATGCGTCAGTCTTACTTATCCAATTACCACCCGTGTTTGCCTTTCATAGGACCACTGTTTGACCTATTAAAAACAAATGTTTGAACAACTCCTTTGCTTCCACCCTTAGTCCCACCCATCCGTGTGACAAGCACAGTCAACCAATGCCACCCCTCACTGTCATCATGTAACAACGATTCGAGGAACTTTTTTCTCGGCTGGCCATACAATCAGGGCGGCAGGCATTGGTCAGTCTAATTTATCATCTCTGGCTTCTGCAGCTACCCAGGAAAGTTTCCGTAGTGGCTCGGTACTCGAGCACTCTCATGGGCAGTCGTGAGATTTCACACCCTCACTACCCTGACCATCTGCATCGCTTAGGGTTCACATGATGGGGTAACATCTACCCTCAAATTGCACTCCTACTCCCCTTTCTCGCCCAGCGGCATGGCCATGTGGTGTTAAGTTTAGAGCCGGCGGAACCAAACTTGCGAGTTTTGTTTCAAATCACGGCTGAGCGGGCAAAGCATTTTCCGTCTTAGACAGGTGAAACCCTCGGAAGGGAGCCAATTTTTCTTTCCGTTTCCGCGTTGGACAGTTTCCGTTTTATACAGAGGTAATTAAAGAGGAATATATCAAGGGGGGAGTGGGGAGATTCCATTAAGACAGGTTTCCGTTTTATACAGCTTTCCGTTAAGGCAGGTTCGACCGTAGTAAGAAAGGTTTTGAAAATTGGTATATATTCAAATGTAAAGCACATTGAGCTAGACTACTTTTTTGGGAAATGCGCTCTATATAAATGTTATATTATATATTATATTGGGGACTGGTGTGATATAGGCAATTGACTTACTGAAGGATTGAAACACTTTGTGCAGTAATCTTTCAAACTCTGGATTTTAACATCAAAGGCCTTATTAAAGGGATCAAAAAGTGATTTTCGAAACATTTTTCACTTACAAAGGCAAAGGAGTGGTTGAATCACGCGGCTAGCGATTTTTAAATCCCCTCAGGGGGTAGGAATAAGAGAAATTTTATTCCCACAATGGCAGCCATATATTGTATCATATTATGACATAAAATATCCTCCACAATATTATACACACAACAACAGGCAAATCATTTATATCATTTATCATGTCATGAGTCCTGGCCCTGGGACTGGGAAGAAATGAAACAGGAGCTGGGATTGACTTAATTTTTGTGTCTTTTGTAATTAGATTACTACTGACTACGGTAGTACGATGAGTAGGATAGTATGGTAACTGTTGTAGTTGAAATTCTCAGCCCCCCCCCCCTTTCCACTCCCCTCATGTTTACATCCTGACTCTCTGCCCTCGTCTCAATAGCAGTTTTGTGCTTAACAAGCAAACTTTCTGTACACCAAACAACAATGCCAATCTTTGTCCCAAAAATCATTTTCATCTGTCTCTAATACTTAGATTACAATCTAGATTCTATCCCATTGATCAGTCCAGTTGAAGAGGATTCATCAAGAATACTGACTGGTTGGCTAGAACCTCTCTCATGTCAACATTCTAACGGTCATCATGGACATGGTAATGGTGTCGCACGACGTTACCTTTTCCAAATATTGACTACAGCAGCGTTTCTCCTCGTAATATATAAATATATCAGCGGAACTGCTTTTACTTTATGATAAAGGCCATACTGTCAAAAAAATAACAACGCAATCAAGTCAACATATGACCACTGTCCACTCCAATTGATTCTTTGAGTTGACCAGCATTGCGAGTTTTATCATGTGATGCTGTGATTCGTGATTGCTTCGAATCATAACATTGAAGATTGTAAAAGGGGCGTAACTCCTAATTTTCTTCCTCTCGGACTGGAGTAACCTCTTTGCCTCGGAGGAAAATTAAATTGACTGAAACTTTTCAGTCGCTTATGATCAAAATAATAATTGTCTGCCAAACTCGTCTTATCTTTTGAATGAATGCCACTGTAATGCAAGTACTCGGTACTGGCAATGTGCTGTTTGCTGAAGGTCCACAAGTCGAATAAATTTTGAATCAGCTGCTTCAATATTTATTGTTTTAACTTTTAACTTCCGAGCCAGCGTTTGCCTCTCTAGACATATTATGACCAGAGAGAGGGAGGAAGAGAGAGAGAGAGAGA